ATCGCCTTCAGATGTCTATTGTGTTCCAGCTCTTACTTTGAATCTTATTTCTATTGGCTAATTGTGTGATTCGAGATACTTAGTTCAATTTTCTTCTACTGCTTGTCATGTGTAGGATCCTCAATCTCAGAAACTAATTGGGATAGGTCGTAGATAAAAGGGATTATATGTTCTGGACAATCTGAGACCACCACACGTTGCAACTTCTGGTGTTGACTTGTCTTCTTTTAGTTTGAACTCATCATCTTCTAGTTTTTATTTGTGGCATTCTCGCCTTGGAGATATTTCTGCTAATTGTTTGAAATTTTTAGTTTCGAAGGGTCTCAATTGAGAGATTTACAAACTCATGATATTTTTGATTGTAGTGGTTGCAAATTAGCTAAATTTTCCACTTTAACTTTTCCTCGAAGTGTTTCACAATCTGTTGCACAATTTAATCTTATTCACTCTGATGTATAGAGACCTGCTCCTATTATTACAAAAAGAGTGTCTAGATATTATGTATCTTTTATTGATTGTTATAGTCGTTATTGTTGGGTTTATCTTATGAAACAATGATCTAACTTTCTTTCTATTTATCATTCTTTTAGAGCACTTATTAAAACTCAACATTATGCTGTAATTAAGTGCTTTAGATGTAACTTGGATGGATGGCACAATTCAACAAACCTTGCGTACTAATACCCCACAACCAAATGATGTTGCTGAACCAAAGCATAGGCACATTGTAGAAACTGCTCGTTCTCTTATCTTGTCTGCCAAAGTTCCCAGTGAATTTTGGGAAGAAGCAGTTCACACTGCTGTTTCTTTAATTAATAAGATCCATCTTCTTACACTTCAAGTTTATCACCATTTGAAATATTGTATAGGCATCATCCCGATTACTCCTTATTAAGAGTCCTTGGCCGTACTTCCTTTGTTCTTTATCCTAAAGTTGAACATAATAAGTTGACATCTCACTCTGCTATCTGTGTTTTCTTGGGTTATGGGCAAGGGCAAAAATGTTATTGCTGTTTTGATCCCTTTAATAAAAAATTATATGTTTCTCGTCATATCGTATTTCTTGCGTACATTTTTGAAATGAAGGACTTAAGTGCATTATCTTATTTTTTGGGATCAAAGTTGCATCTTCTCCTAGATGTTATCTTCTCTCTCAGTCTAAATATACCATGGATGTTATTAAGCATGCTTGCCTTACTGATACTAAAACTTTTGATACTCCTCTTGCATCCAATTCTCAATACTCACCCTCTAACGATGTACCCTTAACTAATCACACTCTATATTGCACCATTGTTGGATGTCTGGTTGATCTTACCATCACACATCCTGATATTGCTTATGTTGTTCACATTATTAGTCAGTTTGTTCCGACTCCTACTACAGTTCATTGGGCAGCTGTTGTTCGTATTTTGAGCTATCTTCGTGGTACTTTCTTTCAGAGTCTTTTATTTCGATCGACCTCTTCTTTAATGCTTTATGCCCACTCTGGTGCTGATTGGGCCAGCGACCCCACCGATCGGAAGTCCACTATTGGTTTTTGTATATTTTTGAATGGTTCCCTTATCTCTAAGAAAAAGACTGTTGTTTCTTATTCCTCTACTGAGGCATTGTATTGTGCCATGACATCCACTACCACTGAAATTGTGTGGTTGCATTGGTTACTTGCAGACATGAATGTTTCTTGATCTTCTCAAACCCTATGTATTGTGATAATAAAAGTGCTATTCAGATTTCTTACAACTCTGTGTTCCATGAGTGCATGAAACATATTGAGATTCAGTGTCATCCGATTAGCCATCATTGCAGACTGGTGCTATTTCTCTACCTTTTGTTTCTTTATCGTTTTAGCTTGTTGACTTCTTTACAAAGTTTCATCTAGTTCATCGTTTTTGCTTCTTAGTTGACAAACTCTCGTTGCTTTTTGCTGTAGTATCGTGAATTTGAGGGGAAATGTTAACCTTATATAATATTATTGCATAATATTTAGGTTCTTTCTTTTAGAGGTTTCCTTTTTTGTTTACTTTTTTTTTTTTTGTAATATATAAATTTGTGTATTTCATTGAAAACCTAATCTTTTGGTGGCTCAATAATATGTTATCCTCTTCTTCTTCTTCTTCTTCTCCTCCTCCTCCTCCTCCTCTTAATTCTTCTCCTCCTTTGGTTGATTTATCAAATTATTTTGTATTGTTTTCAATTTCATCCCGCAGAATTGTTCAATTGGAGATTATAGAGAAGATAAACTCGAACATATATTTGCTCGAAGCTTCACAGCCACATTCACATTGTCGATGTTTCAATGTAAAGCACTTGGTACCATTTGTCGATGATTCTGCTTCTGATAAACCCCTTGAAAATTCCGGCAATGATCCCGAGGAAAATGATGAAGTGCAGAGTATGGAAGCAACCTATAAGGATCTATTGGAC